GCAACCGGAACCTGGTCTACCTAAGACAACCGTGACTTCACCGGGTCTCATTATTGCATCCATGCTCTTTAATATATCAAAATAACGAGAAGCATCATCCTTTTGTAAGTATCTAAATCCATCCATAAGACTCTTTGCTATTCCATTAAATACAGTGGTTTGATAATCAGAATCTGCTGCAATCCCGGAGGCCCTCAAGTTTCTATATGCTATGCCCAAAGACGATGGTTTATAGTATTCAACGTCTGAGTCATGTAATTTTCTTAAGTTTTTAACCCAGTGTCTAGCGTCAAAATGTTCACTATCGGGATTTAATCTTTCGTCAACTTCTTCATAAGGCTCTACTCCAGGAATGCTAGAGAAATGAGATAAATTGCGCACTAAGTCCTCACTCCCAGTCGTGTTGTTGGTTTGTTCCCTACTAATATGGGACATTGTTCTTGCTAGCTCTCGAATGTCACCTTCTGCAGTACTATCGAAACCTTCATATTTTTGTATTTCATTATTTTCTGAAGTATCTGTGTGCTCCTGAATCGACTTAGAGTCCTTTGTTTCTTGACCCCCTGATGTCAATGAATTAGCACTCATTCTTCTACCTCTAATCTTATCTTACTCTGTCATTATTCTTTTTTGTGGTGATCATTGGTACTTATATATTCATTCTTATCTTTCATATATTCGGTTGGTACGTTTACTCAGTCTTACTAATTTTGTATAACAGAATTTTTTTTCTCGGCCGTATAATGTATAAACGGTTGCAAAATGTAGATTGATACCTTTTTTCTTTGAAAATACCTTAATAAGACAATGTAGACATAACCTGCATTTAACTAATTCTTAGGTTATATATTACCTATTCAAGGCCTTACGGCCGTTCCAGGTTATTTATGAAGGAATGTGGATCGGCCCGCATTTTGTAACCGAAGAAGTGGCTTACGGCCGTAAGAGGCTATGATTCCATCTTTATTAATTTGACTATTGACATCATATATTCTTCTGAAAAAGAAAAGTTTTCGGAAGGTGCGTACTTTTGAGCCTTTTATGCAAAAGTTAGAATTAATAACTTAGAAAGAACAAGCGTAGTATTCTAAGTGTCATTTACTTACGTGTAGCATCATGTACTCATCTCTTTTTTCTTGGTTCATAATTATGACTGCTTTATAGGATTTAAAACCTTTACAAGTCTATTGAAAATAATGCAAATAATCTGTTTTATGATGAATCTTTGTTATTTACAAAATTTTGTTATTACTCGCAATTATGTCAAATATTTGTATTTAATGTAGGTAAAGAGTAAAATAAAAATTGAAATGAAAATAGAATTAATACTATTTTTTCTTTTTTTTTTTTGATTTTGAAGCCTGTCTAATCTATTTGAAGACTCCAGATAATTCATAGCCTTTAGTATTCTTGTATTAAAGATAATTGTTCCTACTGAGCTGGAATGATTGGTATTCTTAGCAAGTTTTGCAGCAAGTAGTGCTATGCTCAAATGATATTTAGTGCGCGTATCACCTTGGGTCTTCTTGTTTACATCCAGATCATTTCATAGAAAGAATCCTACAAGACGACATACGCCAGCAATATATCCAATTAGTATCTATACTACGTAACATGAGTTCCGTGTCTTTAGATGAATTGACAGAATTTATTGACAACTTATTGCGTTTACCATCTGCGGCTGGAATTGATGAATATTTGAATAATTTTTTAAACAGCTTTTCCAATGATACAATTTTTGTTATAAAATACCCAACAGAATATGACATAACGAACGACTTGAATTCTATAGCTTCTTTAGATGAGGTGAGAACCATAATAATTATTGTTAAATTGGCAGGAAAATTGAGTTCAACGAATAATTTGAACGTAATAAACATCCCAACAGTTCATGGCGGGGAATCATCTTCTAATGAGTTACTAGAAAACATAAGATCCATAATAAACTTTGGTATTTCACCATATTTTAATTTAGTTTCTAACAAGGATAATACTAATTTAATCAATAATGCCAAAAACAAATTCAGTGAATTATCTTTATCCTTACAGCATTTACAACAAAAAATCCAAATTCCAGATTTACTTATTTCGTGCCATCCAAAAGTTTCACAGTTGATTGAAGGTGAAGTAACTGAGAATGAATTAATAAATGATACTGAATTTTTGAATGAATTGACTAACATAGTGAATAATTGGATTAAGCAAATTCAATCCATTACAAGTTTGAATCACACTCCCACGGATGGCGATTCAATAATAGATGAAATCCAATTTTGGAAGTCAATGGAACTAGCTTTAATATCTTTAGATAGACAGATATCTTCTTCGGAAATAAAAACATCAATTGAACTATTGAATAAATGCAAGAGGTTTCATATAACTTTGACCTTTCAGAACAATATTGGATTGAATGATAAATTATTACAAACCAAGTTATACAATTCTTTGTTAAAGGATTTACCTATTGATGACTTGCTTTTATCTACTAATGAAAAATTCAGCTTACAATACTTCGAGGAAATTATTAATAGTATCTTCGGCCATTTCAAAAAATTGAAAAATTTAAGTTCGTTCTCATTGACTAGAGCTATTCAACTAATCGAAGTTATACTTAATGACATAAGTAATAAATTAGCGCTGATATTAATTGATTATAACTTAATGACCATTCCATTGCAAGAATTTCTCAGCATTTACAACGATTTAATTTTGAAGATTTTCAACATAATTGATAATAATATTAAGTTTATAATTAACCTATTCAGAGAGTTATTAAGAAAGAGACAGGAAAAGTTTTTCATCATTAAGATTACTCAACTTCAGTTTGACAATTTGAAAAACCGTACCAAAATATGGTATGACTTTCGTTTAAAACATAATGATTTATTAATAATGTTGAATACTTTTCTCGAGGATTCTACAGAATTCTCCCATAAATTAACAAACGCATATAACAATTATATTATTCCTTGCAATCTTTTGGATTTGTCATTACAGAGTTTCAAGGTTTGGTCAAATAACGAGAATTTATATCTATCAATTTACCAAAATTTAGAATCATTAATTATTGCCCAGCTTAATGATTATTTCAGCAAGTGCGACAACTTCAACGATTTTATATCGGTATTTAGTAAATTCAAAATATCGACTGCAATTTCAAATCACTTGTTGCATCTAATTAACGACGAATTCAAATTGAAAATATTATCAAAAGCAAATCTGGAGATTGAGAGCTTGATTAATTTGAATGTCAATCAAAGCAGCAGGTTGGTCGATACTATAAATAAAAGTATTATTAATGGTAGTCATAATCACGATTCTTCTGTTGTTGCACAAATAACCTGGAATATTAGTTTGTCGAATAAACTAAATTCCTATTTGTTAATATTGCATAGTTTACTTGGCTCTAACTGGAATCAATATTCGATTGGAAATGAAATATATTCCAAGATAAATAAATTGATCGAGCGTTTAGACACGAAAGATTTATTTCAGAATTGGATGGATGAAGTGACGAAAACAGATATCAACTATTTACCAGGTTCAATTTTAAAGATCACACCAACTCCAAAACTTGACATCAATGTAAATTTTGATTTCAAATTAATCGAATTATCTGAGCAACTGAAGCAATTAACTAATTTAGGGTTTGATGTTCCTATTAATTTACTAATTCAATTTCAGAAAATAGATAAGGTGTATTCTTTTCTTCGTGGATTGATTGAGCATATAAATATTTTGAAAAAGATTGTAAAATTTGATTTACTAGAAACAGCGTTTGGACAGAAGTTTGGATTCTTAGTTGAGAATCAAAAATTGAAGATTCTAAACATGCTCCCCCAAATTGTTGAAATTAATTGGATCCACTTATCTCAAGCCTTTGACTTACAGCATATACCTAACGACAATACCCTTAATGGATCGGAAAACTTGATAGAAATTGTTTCCTTAAATAATCTAACTACATTTCAAAATGATATTTACAAATTTTACATCCAGGTTAATAGCCTTGAAAGACTATATGATTTTATCTATCATGATATTTATTCTGAATTGGAACAATGCGATTACGATTTTAAAGTGATCAACGAGCTTATTAAATCAATACAATCTGAAGTCGTTAAGCTCTCTTTTGATAACTTCACTGAAATAGGCCTTTTATGCAATTTGATAAATGAGGATTTGTTGAATATTCTAGTTAAAAAATGTGAAAAGCAATTAACATTATTGAGCGCCGACTTAAATGGTATTGAGCAAGGAGAAAATATTCCGTTATTTGAAAAGTTTGATCACTCTATTTTATTGAAAGACCAATCCTTTTTAGTATCACCACCCCTAGAGCAGACCAAACAACTCTTATATAAGAAAGCAAACCAAACGCTTTCAGTGATAGAAACACAAGCTATTGTACAATTACAAAATAATGGTGAAATTAAATTCTCCTGTTTGAGTTTTTCAAATGAAATCCTCACGTCTGCTGTTTCTAAATTTATTGTTGTCATTGATGATTTATACAAGGAGTCAGAAATATACTTTCAGAAGTGGATCACTTTACAAAATATTTGGGAATTGAATTTGAATTCGAATGAAGACTTAACAAAGTTAGTACCCAATTTTAAAGATCTTAATTGTTGGCTAGATGCAACTGACAAAGTTCTTAGACTAAGACAGATTTTTGATAATTCAGATAAATTTGCAAAAGTTGGCAATAAAATCTATATTGATTTTACAAAAGTTCAATCCAGAGTTAATTTAAAGTTTGACGCTTTTCAAAATGAACTAATGAAGAAGTTTGGTGATTTCTACCAGGAAAGGCTAATGAAGCAAAATACTGAATTTATTGATGCAAAAAAAGTATTAGAAGGAAGTCTTAGCTTCCAAGAAAGTTTCGAAAAAACGATTATTCATATTGATCAATTTTTAAAATTCAAGAGTAATTTGACTTTCTGGCAAGATCAATTGTCTATTTTATACAAGGGCCAAAAACTACTTATCAAGCAAAGATTTAAATTTTTAAAGAACTGGATATATGTTGAACAACTTGAGAATAATTTTGCGATTGTCTCAAATTTGATTGATAAAAAGCAACGAAGAATCACAGATAACTACGAAATAATTGAATCAAAGTTGATATCTGAGTCAATAAGATTAAATGATCACGTAGGAGTAATATTTAATGATTGGTCTAAGAAGAAACCAATTGGTGGAAGTCTAAATCCTTCTCTTGCAATCAATACTTTGAATAATTTTGAAGAATCTTGCGTTTCGTTAATATCAAAAATTAATACAGTTAGGGCTGTTGGTGATGGTTTGAGCATTCCACTTAAGAGCATTGAAGAATTGACTGGTGTTTTGGGAGAAGCGAAAGACCTCAAGTCGGTTTGGTCCTCAATCAATACATTATGGGAGACTCTTAACAGAATAAATTCTACAAAGTGGAAAGATATTCAACCACGTAATTTACATCGTCAATTAGATGAGTTATTAAGCAACTCAAGAACACTACCGTCAAAAATACGTCAATATTCGGCATTTGATGAAATACAAAATACCATTAAATCATATTTGAAGAATTTTTCGTTTATCAACAATTTAAAAGCAGATTCTATGAAGTCCCGTCATTGGGATATGATATTGAATAAATTAGGGTTTTCTGATTTATCTTACGATATTTTGACAGTTGGAAATATTTGGAGTTTGAATTTCGTTGTCAATGAACAAGTCATCAAATCTGTTTTGAAGCAGGCTAATAACGAACAAACTATTGAAGACAATATAAAGAAGATAAAATCTGATTGGTCCATGCTTTCCTTTGAAATGTTCAATTATAATAATAAAAGCAGATTGATTAGGAATTGGGATACCCTATTTGACCAATGTAATGGTGACATCAATTCGTTGTCTAGTATGAGAAACTCACCATATTACAGTAATTTTGAGCAAGAGATAATTGGTCTAGAAGATACCTTGAATAAATTATCTGTTCTATTAGATACGTGGATTGACGTTCAACGTCAATGGGTGTATTTAGATGGTGTTTTTAGTAACGAAAACAATGATATTAGGAACGTCTTACCTATTGAGTTCACAAGATTCGGAAATATAACATTTCAGTTTTTCAACATATTGAAAATAATTTATAAATATTCTTTAGTAATTGAAGTATTGTCTATCCCAGATATCCAGTCCATAATGGAAAAAGCTTTAGATGGATTGATTAAAGTCAGAAAATCTTTGACCGAATATCTCGAAAAGCAAAGGGAATTATTTCCTAGATTTTACTTTATTGGAAATGAAGACTTATTAGAAATAATTGGAGGTTCAATTGATATAGTTAATAAGCATTTAAAGAAGATGTTTATTGGAATATCCCATGTTGATTACGATGAAGGTTCTTGTCTAATAATTGCTATCAATAGTGAGCAAGGTGAAAAGGTTAAATTATCTAACCCAGTTTCACTTATTAAATTTCCTCGAATTAATGAATGGTTGAAAGAGCTTGAATTAGAGGTACGGCTCACTTTGTCTAATTTAACCAAAAATACTCTTGCAGAATTTAAAGTCTTTTATGAAAGCTTTGATAACCTAGGGGAAATGAAACTATTCGATTTAATTGATCCAATTCCTGCCCAAATATGCACGATAGCATGCCAGATTCTTTTTACAGAGTATACTAGAACAGCCGTTGCTGCTAAAGAGTTGCTGATTTGTTTCGATAATTGCTGCAAAGTAATACAAAAATTGACGCTGCATATATCTTCGAATCTTGCAGTTATTCAGAGGTTGAAGATAGAACATTTGATCATTGAATTTATACATCAGAGAGATATTATCACATCACTAATTAATTCGAAGTCTCATTCTGAGTCTTTATTTATATGGAATACTCAACAATTGTTTTATTATGATTTAAAATCAAATGATCTATTAAATAATTTGAAAGTAAAGCAGTCGAATACTGAATTTACGTATGGATTTGAATATTTAGGACTTCCTGAAAAGTTAGCATATACACCTTTAGTCGATAAATGTTTCTTATCTATGACTCAAGCGTTAGATCAAAAACTTGGAGGTTCTCCATTTGGTCCAGCAGGGACAGGTAAAACTGAAACAGTTAAAGCACTTGGGAATAATTTGGGGAAGATGGTTTTAGTATTTTGCTGTGACGAATCCTTCGACTTTCAGTCCATGGGGCGTATTTTCTTGGGTCTTTGCAAGGTAGGATGTTGGGGTTGTTTTGATGAATTTAATAGATTAGACGAGCATAACTTGAGTGCTGTTTCTTCACAGATTGAAAATATTGAGTTGGGATTAAGCAACCCAAATGACTTAATTGAAATTTCAGGTAAAAAGATTAATATCAATCCTGAAACAGGCATTTTTGTCACAATGAATCCTGGATATGTTGGTAGATCTGAATTGCCTGAAAACTTAAAAAAATTGTTTAGAAGCTTTTCAATGGAGAAACCGGATCTAGAAATCATCGTGGAAGTATTGCTTACTTCACAAAGTTTTATTTATTCTAAGAAGTTGGCGTCTATTATTGTTCCATTTTTTTCAGAACTTTCAAAATTATCATCTAACCAGTCTCATTATGATTTTGGTCTCAGAGCTTTGAAAAATACATTAGTTAAATGTGGTTTAATTAAACGCTCATTAGATGATAATCTCAGTAATGATGAAGGCTTTGAGAATAAGCTAATTTTACAAAGCATAAAAGAAACAATAACTCCTAAATTAATTAAGCAAGATGAATTAATTTTAAATGATTTGCAAGATAAATACTTTCCAAGTGTTATTTATGATACACATGATAACTCCAAATTTATAGCTCAACTTCACAAATATGGAAAGGAAAATGGGTTAGTAATATCAGAAAATTTTATAACAAAAGCATTGCAATTGTATCAAATTCAAAATAGTCATCATGGTATCATGCTAGTTGGAGATTCGGGTTCAAGTAAATCTACAATTTGGAAACTGGTTTTGAAATCCATGTCAGAGATAGAAAATGTCGATAACCTGTCGTTCATTATTGATTGCAAAGTTATGTCCAAAGAAAGTATCTATGGTTCCTTAGATTTGGTAACTCGCGATTGGACTGATGGTTTATTTACAAGTATCCTAAGAAAAATTAAAAACAATTTAAGAGGTGAATTATCTAAATATATTTGGATTGTGTTTGATGGTGATATTGATCCAGAATGGGTTGAAAACCTTAATAGTGTTTTAGATGATAATAGGATCTTAACGTTGCCAAATGGTGAACGTCTCCCATTACCCCAAAATTTGAGAATAGTCTTTGAAGTCGACAACTTAAAATACACAACACCTGCAACCATTAGTAGATGTGGTATGGTTTGGTTTGACTCATCGTTAGTTTCAACCGATATGTTATTTAAAAAGTTATTATTTGAATTGTCTTCAACTCCAATCCAAATTATAGATGATATAATGACCGACAATGAGAATGTTAATCCAATATACAATCAATTGATTGATCAGATTGTTCATATTATAGATTACAACGATTTGAATGTAATCATAAATGAATCTGAAAAACTCAATCATATTATGAATTTCACAATTAATAGATCGTTGGAAACTTTCTTCACATTGCTTAAATCATATTGTCGCCGTTTCATTATCTACTCGTTGAAGAACAAGGATATCCCGGTAGATAATTCGAGCAAATATATCGTGAAAGCCATTGTATTGTCATTTATATGGGCTTTTGCTGGTGATTCGCCACACGAAGAGAGGGAAGGATTTAGCAAGATAGTAATGCGTTTAAGTTCATTTGGCGAACTACACAGAATTGAAGATAAACAAGGAGTTGATAACTATCTCGATTATGATATAACTCTTCCAGAATGTGAATGGCAAAATTGGAATACCAAAGTTCAAAATATAGACCTCGAGCCACAGCATGTTACTAATCCAAGTACCGTCATTCCAACGTTGGATACTATTAGGCATGAGAATTTGATATACTCTATTTTGAATGAACATAAATCCTTATTACTATGCGGTCCACCAGGCTCCGGTAAGACAATGACCTTGTTAGAAGCTTTGAGAAAATCACCGAATTTAGATGTCCTATCACTTAACTTTTCAAAGGATCTGACACCTCAGTCTCTCATGAAGTCATTAGAGCATTATTGTTATTACAAAAAGACTAACACTGGTGCTATTCTTACCCCCAAAATCAATGGCAAATGGGTTGTAGTTTTCTGTGACGAGATCAATTTGCCAGGATTTGACAAGTATGGTACACAAAGGGTTATCTCCTTAATACGTCAAATGATTGAACATAAAGGTTTTTGGAATACCAAGGAAAATCAATGGGTTAAATTAAAAAATATCCAATTTGTTGGTGCTTGTAATTCGCCTAATGATCCAGGTCGTAATAAGCTATCTGATCGTTTCTTACGACATGTATCCTTAATAATGGTTGATTATCCTGGAAAAGATTCTTTATATCAAATTTATCATACATTTAATCTAGCTATTATAAAATGTGCACCTAACCTTAGAGGATATACAACATCCCTTACAGATGCTATGATTGAAGTATATTTGCAGACAAAGCAAAAGATGACACCTGCTTTACAAGACCATTATATTTACTCTCCCCGTGAATTAACTCGATGGTGCAAGGGCATACTTGAAGCATTGAAAGTATCAGAATATTCAAACTTGCAGGATTTAGTCCGATTATGGTACCATGAAGGGTTGAGGCTTTTTTATGATAGGCTTGTATGCGACTCGGATAGGGTTTGGACAAAAGAATTTTTCAGAAGTGTTGTGTTAATGCAATTCCCTAATGTGGATATTCAATCCACACTAAAGGAACCTGTCCTTTATTCAAGTTGGTTAACAGGAGTGTATGAGTCCAATAATGAACATGAACTTAGGTCATTTCTTACAGAAAGACTTCGAGTTTTCAGCGAGGAAGAAATTGAAGTCGATCTAGTATTATATGAAGATCTATTAGATCATTCGCTAAGAATAGATCGAGTATTAAAACAACCGCAAGGCCACATGATATTGGTGGGACCCTGCACTAGTGGTAAAACGACACTCACGAATTTTGTTGCATGGGTAAACGGTCTAAAAGTCATTCAGCTAAATGTGAGCAAAAATTATAGTTTGCTTGATTTTGATGCAACTTTAAGACACATCCTCTTAAGATGTGCAACAGGAGAGAAGATATGTTTTATTATTGATGAATCAAGTATTCTAGAAACGTCTTTTGTTGAACGTATGAATACCTTACTTGCCAATGCAGAAATACCTGGTTTATTTGAAGGAGATGAATTCAATAATTTAATGAATTTGTGTTCCGAACAGGCACATTCACAAAGTTTGCTATTGGATTCGAATGAAGAACTTTATGATTGGTTCACCAAGCAGATTTCTGAAAATTTACATGTTATATTCACACTTAATGAAATGAAAAATGTAAACAGACCTCAGGTTGTTTCTTCGCCAGCATTGTTCAATAGATGTGTCCTAAGCTGGATGGGTGATTGGTCGAATATATCATTACGTGATATAGTATCGACATTAATTGATCCAGTTCCTCTTGATATTTCAAGTTATGTTGTACCTGATTCTTTTGAACTGTTTGGGTCTTCGAAAATTTTGGGATTTAGGGATGTGATTATTGATACGCTTATTTATTTCCATCGTCTTGAGATTGACTATGAAGCAAAGTTTCCTTTGAAGAATCCTCCTAGCAGAATTATGTCTTTCGTTACAGAATTCATTAACATTTTTAACGAAAAGCAATTTAACTTAGAGGAAACCCAACGACACATTACAAATGGCTTAGACAAATTAAGAGAGACAGTATTGCAAGTGAATGATTTAAAACGAAATCTCTCGGAAAAGAAAAACTATTTGACAATTAAAGATAAAGAAGCAAAAGCAATGCTAAGCAAAATGCTCACAGAACAGAACGAGGCAGAACGCAAACAAGAATTTTCAGTGGCAACTCAGGAGGAGCTTGCTAAACAAGAAATTGAAATAGAAAGACGTAAGGTGAAAGTGACAAAAGATTTAGAACTTGCAGAACCGGCTGTTCTAGAGGCTCAAAGGGGTGTTCAGAATATAAAGAAACAACATCTTACTGAAATTAGAAGTATGTCTAACCCTCCTGCAGCTGTCAAGATGACAATGGAATCTGTTTGTATTTTGATTGGTTATGAGGTATCAAGTTGGAGAGATGTTCAATTAATTGTGCGTCGTGACGATTTTATCTCAAACATAGTAGCTTACGATAATGAACTGCAATTGACCCCCAATATTAGAGAATATATGGAAAAAACATATCTATCTAGAAGTGATTACAATTTTGATGCTGTTAATAGAGCAAGTAAAGCATGTGGCCCATTGTTACAGTGGATTCAAGCACAACTTACTTACTCTACTATATTAGAAAAGATTGGGCCACTTAGAGAGGAAGTTCATCTTTTGGAGCGTCAAAAGAAAAAAACGAAAGCTCAATTGATAGCAATTGATGAAATGATTCACGAATTGGAATCAAGCATTGATCAGTATAAGGAAAACTATAGCTCCTTAATTAGAGAAGCAGAAAATATCAAATCTGAAATGAAGGTTGTAGAGTCAAGAGTCAATCGAAGCTTGAAGTTGGTTGATGATTTGACTGCAGAAAGAGAAAGATGGAAATTAAGCATTAATAAGTTCGGCGATCAAAGGGAACGTTTGGTTGGAAATGGCATTTTAACGGCAGCCTTTTTAGTCTACGCTGGTGCTTTCGATCAAAAGGGCCGGAGTATTCTTATGAAAGAATGGACAGATAGATTAAGATCTTGTGGTATTAGTTTTGACGAAGGTATCTCAGTTACGGGATACTTAACCGGAGGAGATGAAATGTTAATCTGGGAACAAAATGGTTTACCTAATGATGATTTAAATATAGAAAACTTTACAATAATGAAAAGGTCGAAAATACCTATAATTATTGATCCACCGTCAAAGATACCGGCAATACTATCGAAATCGTATAAGCCAAAGAAATTACGTATTACTAGTTTCCTAAATGATGGATTTGTGAAGCAAGTTGAAAATGAAATAAGGTTTGGAGGAACTTTATTAATCCAAGATGCGGAATATTATGATCCAGTTCTTGATCCAGTTTTGAGACACGAGATTTATAGAAATGGCGGTCGTACGATGATAAAACTTGGGAATCAAGAAATAGATTTTTCACCCGAATTCAAGCTAATCTTACATACAAGAGACTCACTGATTGTGATGTCGCCATTCGTTACTGCAAGAACATCTATAGTTAATTTCACTGTTACAACAGGCAGCCTTGAGAACTTAATTCTCAACACCACATTACAGAATAAAAGACCAGACATAGAGGCTAAGAGGCTCGAGCTGGTTTCCTTACAAGGTCGATACTTAGTTCGTTTGCACGAGCTTGAGGAACAACTCTTGAATTCATTGAGCGACTCTAGTGGAAATATCCTTGATAATGATAAAGTTATTGAGACATTGGAAGTATTGAAGGCAGAGGCTAGTGATATAGATGTTAAAATCAGCGAATCAAGTAACGTCATGAGGTTAGTGGAAAGCGAACGAAACAAATATTACGATATTGCAAAACATTCATCAGCAATTTTTAGAATCTTCAAGCAAATGAGTAGACTAAACAAGTTATACCATTTTTCACTTGATGCGTATATTTCAACTTTTTCTTATGTCTTAGAAGGGAATCCGAATGAAATTGAAGTCTCTTCTTTTATTAAAGAATTGTACAGAGAATCATATTCTAGAATTGCACCATCATTAAAACATTTGGATAAGCTAGTATTTGCTATCGCTTTGAGTGCTAGCTTTTATGCTTTAGAAATTGGAAACCAATTCAAAACCGCATTTCTTGAAATTTTGAAATCTGTTGGAGGTGGTGAATACGTGGAATCATTGAATATTATTTTCGATTCTATGTTGGTATCCTACGAGAAGATTGATTGTTTGACGAATACAACAATAGATCGTATCATTTCTGTAAACAGTGAAAATGATTCGTTAAGCATTTTGTCTAATATTATTAGATCATTAATAATCTCCAATAACGATAAACGAGATTCATTCTTGGATTCCTTCAACAATTTGGCTTCATTTTTGTTTACAGGTATTGGCCCTAATAGCTCTAAATATGATTTGAAAGACTGGGTATCAACTCCAGTCAAACATGATGGACCATTAATTTTGGCCTCGCTTGAAACGTATGATGCAACCTACAAAGTCGAACAATTGGCGCATCGTATGAATAAGAAATTAATAATTGTATCAATGGGATCAAAAGAAGGTATTGAAATAGCGAATAACGAGATCGGTATTGCTGCTAAGAATGGATTCTGGATATTGATTCAAAATGTCCAAATGTCACCAACATGGCTAAGTTACCTAGATAAAAGATTAGAATCTTTATCAGCACATGAAAACTTTAGAATATTCTTGAGTTGTAATTTGTCGTCGGATATTCCAGCTGCAATGATTAATAAATCTAAAATACTCATATTCGAAAATGAGCCAGGATTAAAGAGTATAGTAAATGAAACTTACAATTCGATACAACATGAAGTTCTCGCTAAAAATACGAGTGAATACAATCACATATGCTTTTTGTTATCTTGGTTCCATTCTATCCTTCAAGAAAGATCGAGATATGCACCTATGTCATTTGCGAAGAAGTACGATATAAATGATTCAGATTTTGCTTCTGGTCTTCACGTTATAGAAAAATTGCTAGCGCCATTTAAAGACGGAAGATCTAATATTTCACCCGACCTAGTACCTTGGGAAGAATTAAGTTACTTAATAGGGGAGATTACTTACGGTGGACAAATCGATAATAAATCTGATTTAGAATATATCACCAGCTTAGCAAAGTATATATTTAGCATACATGCATTTGAAACTGATTTTAATTTAGTTGAGAACACATTAACTATTAATTCAGGAACCCAGTTACATATCCCTGAAGGAATATCCACAGAAGCATACGAATCATGGATTAAATTATTGCCTGATCAAGCACCATTAAAAT